AAGGAAAAGGTCCTCAAAGCTATTAAGTTATAGTTGAATAAGAGAAACAATTTCTCATTTGTGTTCCGCAGTGTGACTCTAAATAGTGATAACTCACTATATATTTCAGCAAAGCTGGAAAGGGGCATTGTCAATGTTTTTGCCATGGGGAAATGGCAAACATTCGAGGAAATAGACACATTTACCCTCATTTGAACATTACAAAATGTATATATAATAATGCATGAAAATATCACATGGTATCTTATAATTATGTATATGTGAATGGTTGTTAAAGGTTAATTAAAAACAAAGAACAAAAAGAAATGCTAACAAAATATCTGAATTGTGTAGGTGCAGGGATTTTAGGCTATGCCTTCAATTTTTAATGATTTTGAGAGTTACGTTCAGAAATACTGAATTTTTTTTTTTTTTTGAAAGAGGTCTCCCAGTTAGGCCCGAACTCGCTATGTAGACCAGACTCCAGGCTGGCCTTGATCTCACAGAGATCTGCCTTCTTCTGCCTCCTGAGTGCTGGAATTAAGGTGTGTGCCACCACGCCTGACATTTTAGGTATAATAAGTCTAAGTGCCAAGAATAGACAGGGACCCGTCTTAGTGCAATTTTCTTGAATATGATTTCTGGAATGCATGAGATTCATAGGATCCTAGAATATCAAGGTCTTTGGCATGTTTCTAGTGTTGTCTAACCTTTTATTCCTTCTTTTTTTTTCAGCTTATTTTTGCTTTTCTCTCTGTGTGGAGGTAATGAGAGGCTGAATTTTATGAAGAACAGAGAAGAAATAGAGGGAGTCATTGCAGCTCAGGCTGTTCTTGAACTCACTATGTGTCTGAGGATGATCTTAAACTTTGGATGCTCTTGCCTCCACTTCTGTGGGAATTACAGACATGCACCACCACATTAGGTTTCTGCAGTGCTGGAGATCAAATCCAGGGTCTCATGCATGCTAAGCAACTGATCTACATCCCCACCCCTGAATTCATTATTTATACCTTCAAAATATATTTATAATTTCACTTTAAAACTGGTTATACTATGCATATTTAGACATATATACTTTGAAGGAGGTGAATTTTCAAAAGATACTGCTGTTAGAAAAAAAAATTATGTGGGAAGAGAATTAGGTTAAGCTTCATAAAAACTTAGTTGTAATTTGTGTATTTGACTTTTGCCTGTGCCTTAGGGGAGATACCACATATTATTATTATTATTATTGGAGTGGAACTTTTAAAATAGTTCAAACTAACCCTATCCCCTATGGCCAGGGAGCTGCTCAAAGATGTTGTGAGCAAGACTAAGATTAAAAAATAAAATTGTTAGTGGGCTGGTGATGTGAGGTTCTTGACTGACAACTGCGGGACCCTAAGTTTCGTCTCCAGCAGGGCCCCCAAACAGAACCAAACAAAGGAAAAACCAAATTAAAACAGTAACAAAAACCATTGGTAAAGAATAAAACAGATTTCCTGATTTCTAAGCGCATGCTCTCCATTATATCAGCATTTTAAAACTGTAAGTATATGCATGCTGTATATACACACATACACCCATGCCCACAATTATGTATGTGACAATCTACATGTATGAATATACATATTTATTTTTTATTGTTTTACCATTTACTATAAGATCTCATGGAACCCAGGCTGGGCTGGAATCTGCTATGTAGTCAAGATAAAATTAGACTTCACAGTCCATTGCCTTCTGATTCCTGAGATTACAAGTTTGTAATACCATGCTCTGATACACACACACACACACACACACACACACACACACATGTATATTCTGTATTTAGAGACAGTGTCTCACTGTCTTGCTCTGACTGGCCTGGATCTTACTCTGTAGCCCAGACAGGCCTTGAATGGGAGATCCTCCTGCCTGGGCCTACTGAGTAGTGAGATTACAGGTATAAGCCACCATACCTGTGTACACACATATTTAAAGTAACATCTGTATGATCTTTCTATACAATAGTATATTGCAGTCTTCTCTTTTTAAATAATTGCAGTTTCCATGACAGTGGGTAATGCAGCATGGTAAGTTATTTTCTCCCCAACTATCAACCTGGTCTCTGGGCACAAGTAATTGCTCTAAGAAATATTTTCAAATGAATTCAATTAAATGAACGACACACACAATGGCTGAGATCCGTGTCGGGCTTTGGCGTTCTCTTTGTGAAGGAGACTTGAGAGAGTCCGCTCCTACTCCGCGCCAGGGTTTAAACCCGGTCCTTTGGCCCCTGAGGTGGTAGGGAAGAGCTGCATCCTTTGCACTTTGCGGTGAGTTGGTCTGGAGTGCAGCGGTATTTGGGGAGTGGGAAGAGGGCCGTGGAAGTTAAGGAAACGGAGCCATAGCTTGGGGCCCAGAAGTGACATGGAAGGACCTAAGAGCTTGATGCTGAGGCCCTTTTTATTCCGGGCGAGTTAGAAAAGCCAGTTAAGAGGCCCCGTAAACCAGAGCCCTCCCGTTGCCCGGCAACCTGAGACGCCGTGAGCCTAAACTGTAGTATCCCTTGGGAATTGCCCTTGCGTTTGTCCTATGGGAAGCTTTTTGAAGAACGTTCTTGGTGGAATCACCCTGGGTTGTACCCTTTCCAGCCCTTCTACTCCAAGTCTGGACTTTGCAGAGCTCACATTATTAGGTCAAGTCAGGTTGGCTGGCTCCAGTGTCCCTAGCCTGTCCTGGAGTCCTGGATATGAAGGCGATGGTGGATTCCTTTTGGAACATTTGTGGTACCGTAAAGTAAGATTTAATTAAGGGGCAGGAGATGATGATGTGGGAATGAGAAGCTTACTCTGATTTCTTTTAAGTTAGGAAAGACTTCGTGTTCAGTTTCAGATCTTAGGTTTGTTGTCGCTGGGGATCCTAGGTGACTCTGTACAACATGGAACTTATATACTGAATTGTATTCACTAATCCTTTTCCTCCCTGTTTATGAGCTGGATTTTATCCAGTCATCCTTTCCTTTCGCTTGTGCTCTGGTTTGGTGTAAGCAAATCAATAGCCATGGATTCACTAACCAGGAGAGAAAGGATGGTAACGGGTTGGAAATGGTCATTGTTAAGGAAAAAAAAAAGGAAAGTGGGCTCTGGGAAGGGGAGAGGTGGTTTCTTTTAAGGTTGGTACTCTTGGCAGCTTAGTCAGGCTCCAGTGGATGGACCCACACTGAAGGACATTCAGAGACACAAATTAGACTGTATAGGCCTTATTATACCTAATAGAGTATATTAAATTGGGAGGGGAGGGAAGTAAGTGGAGATGTGGATAGGAGAAGGGATCTAAATATCATCAAATTATGTCATACGAAAATCACAAAAATTCAATAAAAATAAAGTAAAAAAGGAAAGTGGGTTCAGTTCTTTTTGGAAGCAGCAAAGGCATTAGTCAACAATAGTTACCACAGGCTAGCAATATCACTTTGTACCCGTAGTAGTGTGAGTTGGGAGTGGGGCCCTCAGACCTGCTCTTGACCCATGCTTTGCACAAGGGCAATCCTTGACATACAGTCCAAAGATTTGCTTCCAGCCATTTTCTTGAAATGCTGATTCTTGAGTCACCAAGTTTAGGTTTGTGGTGTTTATTCCTCAGAGTAAATTTCCTTCTGAGGCCTCTGTTACCTGTTTTAGCAAGAATGTGGCATTGGAGAGAGAGCTAGATAGATCCTGTGTATGAATTAAGACTCCACAGTAACTGGCAAACAGACAAAGTGAAATTCACTTCTGTGGATCTTAGTTTGCTCAGTGCAAAAATCAGAAACTTGGGTGATTTTAGTTTTTGAAACCATGTCCAAATCAAAGGTGCTCTAAATGGGGTGCTGGTGGCCTGAATCTAATTTTATGGTCCCCAGTGTGTGTATGGTGACATTCCCCCTTCAAACTGACATTTCCCTTTTAAACAATCTTACTGCACCAGAACGAACATTTTTATGCTTTTTGCATATTCTGAAATGATTATGAAATTTGCATAATTCTGAATGAATTCATATCTAATTGACTGAATTCTCTTAGTTTTTAGATTTTCCACTAAGTCCTGAGATGCAGAGTGAGCCCCGTTTGCCCTCGCATTTATGACCTTACAGACTTACTGAAGAATAATTGCTGCCATTCGATGCTGTAAACATCTTACCTGTTTCTAGACAGAATTGTATGTCAGAATTGTGATTGCCAAAATTAGGTACAGATAAATGAAATAAGAATGTGTTCAAAGTGTATATGGACATTTAATGATGCATTAGTTTATTTATTGACTGAGGATTTATTAAGAAGCAATGTTATATTAAAGGCAGGAGAAACCAACATTTGTGGCTATGATAGTACATTAGAAATGCAAAGTGAGAGTGATTACAGTGGAGAGTGATAGCTATCATGCCATACAAGGGCTAAGGGGAGCTAGGCATTTGAGAGTTTCTGCTTGCTGTTCTTATTATTTGCAAACAAAGCATAATGATTTGAAATGACATATAGTTATTAGAAATGGCTGTAACGGTTGCTAAGTCATAAAATTGAGAAGCTGATAATGTGTGTAGAGAAAGCCACTTAGCTGATAGCTCAGCATCCATATTATAACTTGGGTTCATTAGCTGGTAGTCATATAGCAAGCACAGTAACTTGAACTGGGATTGAACCCAGGACCTTGGACATGTTAGGAAAGTGTTGTAATGCTGGGCTACAGGCTCAGCTCACACATGCAGTAACTTTTGTGATGTGATCAATCAAGGGACCTTAGGCTTATAACATAAGCCAAAAGCATTTCTGAAAAATTGCTTCTTTTTTGAGAGGTAACTGAAAAGAAAGCTATTTCAAACCCCATTAAGATTATTTTCAAATATTATGATTTATATTATATTCAGAATATGTTTACTCTGGGTGGATAAATATTATCGACTTTACTATTATATAGGGAATTCCTGGATTAAGGCAAGGATTTTTCCCAGGGGAGAGACTGTGGGGTGGAGTGGGAAGACGATGAGATGCAAAGGAACTGGGACTACCTTCAGGTAAGAAGTCGACACCCGGCCTAAAATAAAGGCTGGTTTTCACCGTAGTAGTGGTGGCCATCCAAGTCTTCCTCCTTCCACCAGGCTGAGAAAGGCACCCACCAACATTCTCTCCCTCTTACACATTAGGAACGTTAGCTCAGAGAGACTAAATTCTTTTGCAGGATCAATCAGGATTTTACTAGTTTATGTATTTGAAGCTGGCACTCTACCAGGCTATATTCCTTTCAAAAAACAAAACAAAAATAATTTGTTATAAAAATAAACCCCAGTCTAATATAGAACAAGAAAGTATGAGTGAATGTATAAACAAAACTTTTTCCACGGTAATATAAAGATGAAGTCAAAATTAAAATATGTAGAATTTTGATGACTCATCAGATTCATATTTTGTACCTATTTACAAGTTGAGTATTTACAGGATACTTTTGAAAGTGTATTTTATGTAATTATTTAACTACTAATTGAACCAATCATTCTATTTTGTTATTTGTATTACATGAATAATACTGCTTGCTTGAAATACTTTAATTGGTCTACCCTGACAAATTAAAACCCATTAATGGCTTGGGAATCGAGTAAAATAAAATAAATAAATAATAAATAAATAGATAATAAGTGTAGCTCTCAATTGGTAAAAAAGGGACAGATATTAGTTGTGTAATGTTGTAAAACATTAGTACAGACTTAGTAGTTTAAAATTATATAAATGTATCCTTTTATAGTTTTGGAGGTCAGTGTACAAAATTGGTCTTAAATTGCTAAAACCGAGCTCAGCAGAGCTGGTTCTTTCTGGAAGGCTCTGGTGAAAATCCATTCCTTGTCTCTTGTGCCTCCTGGAAACTGTTGGTGACCTCGTCCCCCATCTTCCAAGCAGCTGCATAGCATCGATGTTCCTCTCACACCTGTGCTTCCTTCCATCCAGGTTCTCTGTCTCACTCTGATCCTCCCACCTCCCTCTTCTATGGACCCTGGTAGATTTGTTGAGCTCAACAGATAGTTGAAGTTAATTTTCCTATCTCAAAATTCCTACATGAATCCCTAAACATTCCATGTAAGGGACATATTTACAGAGTCTAGAGATTAAGATGTGACTATATTTGGGTAGTTGTTACCAAGCATAATGTATCTGCTCCACTAAAAGCTGATTTTGGTATAAAAAGTAAAAGTCATTAATGATTTATCATTAACTGCATTATGGAGAATTATTCTGTACTTTGTATGGCTTATTTAAAACTAGAGTGAAAACAACTGTCTTACATTCATTTTCTCTTTCTAAAAGTGCAGCATATTGCATGAGAAACATAAACTGAATGGATTTAGAGGTTAAAGGAGTGGCTGCTTCTAGGAGCCAAACTCAGCTATTTTCTCAAAGAAACTGCCCACTACAAGTATGTATGCTCTATAATTTTCTTGTCATAGGATGACTCATTACATTGTTTCCAAAATTATTTATTCATGTTTTTATGACTATTTACACATACAAATATTTAGGATCAGTTTTTCCTAGAATTTTAGACCAGAACCACCAAAACTGAAGATAATCATTACTTGAAAATTTGTCATCACTTGACTTAGTTTTTTAAAATTAAGATTATTCCTTTATCATTATTTAAAGATTACCTGTGTATCTGCAGAAAGCATAAGAGAAAGAAAAATAGTAGAAAGAAGAAAATGCCATTTTCTTTGCTATGTTGACCCTATTACATTTTAGTAGATTTGGTTACAATTGGTTAACTATGTATGTAACCTTAGCCTCTCTCTACCTTTTAGTTAAACTATAAGTATTTTCTATATTAAGTTCTCTAAAAGAAATTTTAATGGCCATATAATGTATGGTGTTGTTTATTCAGAGAAAGCTTAAATATTATAAACTAAACTTTCTTTAAAATATAAACTTTTTCCTTAAAATGGAATTTCAGTGACTGAATATTCTTGGGACTTTTCTATTTTGCTCTGTTAACCTGCTTTGGGTAATGCTAGGTACTAAAGACCCAACAATAAATGACATATAAAACCTTTAGTCTTACAGGTGAGATTTATATTCTAACAGTGTTAAATTCAACTAAGGAAAGAGGTTTAAAAAACATAGATGTTCAAAGAAGAGAGGGTGGTAAGATAGAGATGTGAGAGAAAGCTTCAATGAGGGAGGACATCTTTGTTCACTGAAAGAGTACATTCTGAGAGGCATAGGGAAGATGAGAACAGTCGTGACTGCAGGATCAAAAACACAGCTGTGAAATATGTATCAGTCATCCAACTTGCTATTTTCATGTTTAAATTAAAATCAAAATGTTTAGAGAACAGACATGTTAGCTCTGTGGGAAAAACAATGTGGACTTTGCTACGAAGAGCTTCCTTCTCAGCTTTTGAACTACCACTGTTGTGTAGTTCAAGAAATAACTCAGTGCAGTCTTCAGGCACTTTTCCCTGTGTCCACCACAGAGGTGAGTAAATATCAAATTTAGTTTAGAACTGTATAAAAGTAATGCGTATCTGCTTGTAATTATTTCAAAACGGAATACATACTGTCCTAGTTTGCTCTCTGCTGCTGTGATGAACACCACCACCAAAACAACTTGGGAAAGAAAGTGTTTAGTTCATTTCAGAACTCCCAGATCATAATCGATCACTGGGGGAAGTCAGGGCAGGACCTGAAGGCAGGATCTTGGAGGCAGGAAATAAGGCAGAGACCATGGAGGAATGCTGCTTAGGGACTTGCTTCCAGACCCATGTTCAGTTACTTTTCTAATATAGCCAGGGCCCTCTTACATCAGTTAACAATTAAGAAAATGCCTCACAGACATGGCCACAGGACAGTCTGTCCCAGGTAGTTCTCCAATTGAAGGTTCCCTTTTGCCAGGTGTGTCAAGTTGACAACCAAGTCACACTTACCAAATTGATAACCTTGAGAAATGTCAGAATAGTTTGTAACACTTAAATAGTTATGAGAACTTTAGAGGTAGTTAATATTATTTGCCTGCTTGCAGATATGTAAGAGCTGTGGTTTCTAGAGACTGAGTGACTTGCTAGGGTTTTAAACTGGAATTCTGACTTCAGGACCTATGCTCTTTAGTCTGGATCATCAAACTGCTTTGGGTTCTTATGCTCCACTGTGGATATGTTCTGAATCAGAACTCTTAGAAAATTTGGGTCAAAGCCATTTGCATTTGGTTGCTAGTTAAAATGTAAACCATAGTATTATAATCTTTATCACTAATTACTTGATTATATTATGGAAACGTTAGCTTTTTTCTAGATTGTTATAAAAATCTCATTTTAGTCCTTATAAGAATGATTCCCATAATTACCTTTTTTCCTGAAGTAATACCTATTCTTAGTCATACTATATGAGGAATATAGAAATAGTGATGGGGTTAGGAACCAAGTTTATAGTTGTACTAGATTTGCTTTTAGTTAATGGAAAAAAATCTCAGATATTCACATTACTGCCTGTTAGAGCTTATCAGTCAAGTGTCAAAAAAGGGCATAAAAATATCCAATTCAGGGTCGGGAATGGTAACACAAAAGCACTCAAAGGCAGAGGCAAGTGGATCTCTGTGAGCTTGAGAGCAGCCTGGGAAAATATAATGAAGAAAATCTTGATGTGTGAGGAATGTTTTCTGCCATTTTAGACTATGTGTTATTTGCATATTTGCTTACCTATTTTATAATTTTACTATTTTCACATATGGTTATTAGGATCATATTAGACACAGCATCATATTAAAGTTAATACTGAGCTGAATTCATATTCTCCTATCCTTTATAAAAATTTTTAATTTTGTCTTTTGAGACATGGTCTGATTTGTAGTCCTGACTGACCTGAAATCATTATGTAGACCAGCCTGGCCTGGAACTTGTGGCAGTCCTGCCTCTGTTGACTGAGTGCTGGGATTAACCAGCATGTGTTACCATGCCTGGCCCTGATTTCTCTTGTTCATGTGGTCTGTTATTATAGTGATTAATGCCATTCTTGAATATAATGTCTATACTGCCCATAAGAAATCATGTTAAATCAAGTTAGTAGAAGATTGGCTTTTGGTAGAAATAATTTTCTCCCTTTTCATCTGGCTCACTAAATCTCAGTCTTCAGAACTCCCTTTAAAAGGTGCTTTTCATTTTGGAAATACTTCCTCTATTCCCTAGACTTGGATGGATCACATGCCCTGTTACAGATGTCCTCTTGCAGGCTGAGGGCATCTTCCCCAGCTAACAGGAACTGTGAAGGTAGTGATTGTTCCCCTTGATTGTCATTGTTCTGCATCTCATGCAAAATGTACAGGGGCTTAGCAAGCACATCGTATATGGGGTTTACTGATAAAACTGAAATTCTCTTTATGTCATCAAGTCATTTCTTATCTATTAATATATAATATACATTGTATATTTTACTTTTAAATTAAAGCAAGGATGGACTTCCAGACCGTGGGTGATACAGAATTCCTGCCTACCTATGTAAGCCATATTTCTTCACATCTAAACTGCCTAATAGGCAAATATTTATGACATCTTAAATTTAAAAAGAAAACAAAATGATATATGTAGTTATGATTGTGAACTATAGATAAACATGCACAGAAAAGGACTGAAAATTACTGTGCCAAAATTAAAATAGCTCTTGTGATAAGATGGTAAGAATATGGGTAATGACTTTTCTTCTCATTTTCTTTAAGACTATTTTCACATTTTCCTGAAAAAGTTAAATTCCTTATTTAGAAAATTCATTATGTCTTTTTAGTATTTCAGTTTACATTAAACTAATACATAGCAACATAAAATTATACATGTTTGTAGAGTGCCCTAGGAAGTTTTAAAGCATGTGCATATTATGTAATATATAAATCAGTGTATCTACTCTTCAAGTATTAAAGAGATGTATGATATTTTTTTATTTTGTGATTGGCATGGTCAAAATTATCTAATGGTAAATATGCGTGTGTTTAAAATTTTTATCTTGAAGAACATAAGAATTTAATAGATCATTAAAGTTGATTTTTTTTCATTTTGTAATGTCTTATATATTATACTTTCAAATATTTGAAAGATGTAAAATACTTGACAGTGTGTTTTTTGTGTAGTTTAGACTACAAGGATTTTTTGAAATAGAAATTAAAAACAGTAATTTGCTAGACTGAGCCACATCACACTGATAGCTTTGTAGATTAAAAATGAACAATGTTAGTAATTTCATATGTTTCCACATGAAAGATATGTGCTCAGCTATACATACAATATAGAGTTATGCTTAGTAAAGAACAGAGTCACACTCAAGTACTAAACACAGAATATGGAGGATGCAGCAAGGAGCATGTCAATCATGTACTAATAAATGTTTAACAGCTGATGTAAATATTTATTTGTTCATTATAAAAATTGAGTGTATTTTAAATTAAAGCTTTTGTTAGATAAATTATGTATAGCAAGAAATTTATATAGCTAATAAAATATTCAAACTATTACCAAGTCCATTTAACCAGTTGGTACCCACAGAATTCTTCCTTTGTCTTTTTCCTATCTGTAGCCAGCCCATGCTGTCATGATGAACCAGTTCCAATGTGAATGTTGGTTGGCATCTTTGTTTACTTTAAATCAGTACGAGTGATTTCTTGGTGAAATCAGTTTTTAAGTACTAAAATAACACTGCTCGACACTCTTCTGTTCTATTCACCATTTACAGCTATATATATTGTGCATTTAAGTTTTATCTGCACTATTAATATTTTTCCACTATTTTTTAAGTCTCAGAAATCAACAACACAGTAAATAAAATCTTGATTCATAACATTTGTTGATTTCAGTGTATTTTGATTTCAAGCTATTTTCATAAAATTTGTGAATAGAGTTAGAAACCTGTGAGGTTATATTATGGTACAGACATCACAGACCTGAATGAACTCAGCAGCACATAAAATGAATTCTAGCACATGCACAATAGAAGAGCAGTAAAATCATTAGGGAATGATGACTTTTGAGAGTATTTACTCTGTTTATTCTTGCTGTGTTTATATGTATGTTTGAATGGTATGCATGCCTGTATGTGTGTGTTCGTATGTGTGTGGGTGCATGTGTGTGTGCAGGTATATGTGCATGTGGAGGTCACCCTTGCCAAACTTTTATGTGGGTCTTGGGGATCTGAACTCCATTCCTCACATCTGCCCAGGAAGAATTTTATCCACTAAGCCAGCTTCCCAGTCTTTCCTTTGTTCTTACTATAATTTCATTAATTATTAATTTGTATACTTTTATTTTTAATAATGATTATGTTTAAACAATCAGTTTGAAAAATTACTGAACATTTATCAAGAATCTACAATACCTCCTACTTACTATCCAGTGGCTGCTTGTGACTTTTTAATAGGTGATATATGATTTTCAGTTATTAAAGTCTCATTTAAAAAGTTATAAGATGCCAAGATTATTTCTTTCAGGGTCCCACCACTTGACTTGGGAAGCCTTGTTGACTCTGATGAGGAGGTAATTTTTACTTAATGCTTAATATAATAAACCTTTGACTGTAATAACCTAAAGCATATACTAAGTATTATATTTTATTTTTTAGGATAATTTTTCACAAGTTCCACTTTGTTCAGTGCATTTTAACCCACCAAAGTTACCTTCTGTTCTTTGTTGGGTTACACCATATCAAAAACCACATACTCAGCATCATATAAATGAAGTGGTTAGTATACATTTGTTTACTACTAATTTTTAGAATTGCAGTGTACATTATTGGCACTGTATTTAACTTAGACATTTAGCTGTTTGGCATATGCTTTGCTCAGTTCAAATATCTGTATATGAAGACTGGGCGTGGTGGCGCATGCCTTTAATCCCAGCATGTGGGAGGCAGAACCAGGCAGATCTCTGTGAGTTCGAGGCTAGCCTGGTCTACATAGTGAGTTCCAGGCCAGCTGGGGCTACAGGGAGACCCTGTCTCAAAAAGACCAAAAAAAAAAAATCTGTTATGAAAATGTCCAACAATAATGCTGATGAAATAATTCTGTTTTGTTTGTGAAGTTTTTCACCTGTTAGAGGCCAGCTGGGGCTACAGGGAGACCCTGTCTCAAAAAGACCAAAAAAAAAAATCTGTATATGAAAATGTCCAACAATAATGCTGATGAAATAATTCTGTTTTGTTTGTGAAGTTTTTCACCTGTTAGAATGGCATTTTAAATATTTCTTGTAAAGTTGGTAAGATAGAGTATATCTAAATGTGGATTCCAGAAATTTAGAAAATACGCAATATTAGATTATAGGTTACTAGCTGATTGACAGAAGCTTAATTTTTTTCAATTTAGTTGTTCTCTGAATACTGTGGAATAGGAAGAATAACTGTACTTAATCCGATAAAATAGTAATAATAATACCCTAGTTTCTTCTTCGGAAAAACTGTTTTCCTGATGCTTTTTTCCCCTCTTCCTTCATTCCTCTAGACTTGGCCTGCCTCTATACTTTTCAGGTTCCACTGGCAGTTTTGTGTTCCTTTTGCAGTATCTGTTCCTACCTAGGTCAGAACCTGTGCCCACTGACTCTGCTATCTTTTGCTACCATGGAAATTTGACAGGGAACCAGAAAATACTGGAGGGTAGAATATAGTAATATTCCAGAAATGGTAACTGATGCTTTTCAGTGTCGTTAATCTCTAATACATAGGACCACTTGGCAGAAAATAAAAGATCCACCTAAATAAAGACCTAAGAAAGAAAACTTTGTTTCTTCTTTCAAACTATTTTCGTCCCAAGGCCGATCTTCAGCTGTGAAAAAGAGTCTATGATTACTGGTATTTAAAGCCAGGTGCCATTTCCAATAAATTCAGTCTTCTTTGATTGATGCTTTGTTAGCTAAAGGTTTTAAATATCCCTTCTGTTCAGAGCATAGGCTACAATGGTCTTTTCTTTAGACTTAAATGGTAAGGTAAATAGTAAACTCATTAATGTGGAATTAAATGGTAAGGTAAATAGTAAACTCATTAATGTGAAAAGAGTACTAATTCTTTTTATATTTTTTCTGGTGGACAGCATATTTTTGTTTTACCTCTAGGAACAAGACATAATACCTGAAGATTTGCCACCACCACCAGGCAGATATAAACTAAAATATCAGCAGTATGCAAATGAAATGAAAGAGGGTTACAAACAGTATATTCAGAGAAATGCAGATAAGGCAGAAGCACCTAGCGTACCGCGAGAGACGTCAAGAAACATGATAAATGAAAAGGTGATGTGAAGTCAATGAAACTTAAATCAAACCGTGCATGTGTCATAGAAATGTCCTTTTATCTGTTAATAAGCATAGTACTGAACATTTTATGTATTATATATATATAATTTTTTGTTTGTTTTTATTTTTTTTCAGACAGATTTTCTCTGTAGTCCCTGCTGGCCTGGAACTCACTATGTAGACCAGTCTGACCTTGATCTCACAGAGATCCAACTGTCTCTTGCCTCCCCAGTGCTGGGATTAAAGGTGTGTACTGCCATGTCTGGTGTAGTGAAGATTTATTTCAGCAGGCTAGAGACTATTTAAGTATTTTACTTATATTAATTAGTTTGTTCTTCACAGCAAACCTAAAGGTTTTATTGTCAGTGTTTTTTCAGGTGCAAAACTTGAATCCCCACATCCAAGTCTGTGTTAAACTCTTTATTTGATTGAGAGTGGCAGTATGATAGTTTTTAAAATTATTTTATGTGTGGCTGGGCATGGTGATACATGCCTTTAATCCCAGCACTCGGGAGGCAAAGGCAGGTGGATCTCTGTGAGTTCAAGGCCAGCCTGGTCTCCATAGTGAATCCAGGCCAGCTGGGGCTGCAGGGAGACCCTGTCTCAAAAAGACCAAAAAAAAAATATTTTATGTGTATTAGTGTATTGCCTGCATGTATGTGAATGCACCAGTGATGTGCAATGCCTGAGGAAGATAGAGGGCGCTCCAGATCCCCTGGAATTGGAGTTACAGTTGGTTGTTAGCTGTCATGTGGATGCTAGGAATTGAACATTGGTCCTGTGTAAGAACAGCCAGTACACTTAACCACTGAGCCATCTCTCCAGCCCTAGTACAATAGTTTTATATATATGATTTTCATGTAGCTGTCATGAACTATTTTGGGTTTTAAAAATTCGACTTTTGAACCCAACTTCAAATATTGACATTTGCTTACTTTTGGTTAAAAAGAGTAACAAACAGGCTTGGAGAGGTGGCTCGGTGGTTAAGAACACTGGCTGTTTTTGCAGAGGACCTGGATTCAATTCCGAGCACCCACATGTTCGCTAACAATTGTCTGTAATTTCAGTTCCCGGGGGATCCAGTTCCCTCTTCTGACCTCCCTGTAGGTGGTGCAGTTACATACAATCAGGCAAAACAACCATACACATAAAACAATAATTAAAAGAGTAACATCATCTGCTAACCAAAGATACTATTTGCTTCCTTGATTTTTTAAAAAATATTTTATTATTTTTATTTTATGTGTATGCATGTATTGCCTGCATGTAGGTAAATGCACCTGTGTTGTGCAATGCCCACGGAGGACAGAAGAGGCCGTTGGATCCCCTGGAACTGGAGTTATGGAAACTTGTTAGCTGCCATGTGAGTGCTAGGATTCCAACTGGGTCTTCTGCAAGAACAGTCTGTGTTCTTAACCGCTGAGCTATCTCTCCAGTCCCCGCTTCCTTGATTTTTAAAAACATACATTAAATGTATGAAATTATTAAATTTAATTTTTTTTGTAGTTTTGCCAAAGACTTCTCTAAAGAGAAGTTTGGGGTGTTTGCTGACAAGTCTAAGAACCTGAGTTCAAGCTTTACCATCTATGTTTTTAATAAAAGCTGAGTGTAGTGGTGCACGGTTGTAATCCCAACACCAGAGAGGCAGAGACAGGAGGAACCATGGGCTCACTTGCCAGCCAGCCTACCCTAATTGGTAAGCTTCAGGTTCAGTGGAAACCTCTGTCTCATGAAACATGGTAGACCACTCCTGAGGCATGCCACCCAAAGTTGATATCTGGTTTCTACATGCTGCTATGCACGTACAGGTACTTGCACCCACTGCCCCATAGACACAAAGTCTCTGTGAGTCTCTTTAACAGTCTTATACTTGAGTGGTTTCCACAAACCACTTGATGAACTATGTAGCATCATGAAAATCATAACTCTTACATAAATGAGCTATTAGTAAAGTCTACCACAGTTACAGGGCTCTAGTACCATACTGGGAATCTTGGGAAGCAGATGCAAAAAGGGCGGTAACAGGTACAATTAGCAAAATGATGTCAGAAATGTGAGCCTCCCTTTAAGAAGGAGGAATCTGTAAATTGATTTTCTTTGCTGATAAAGAAAAGCTAAAGTTAGATAGATAGGAAATGCCACAGCTGCTGACTAACCTGGTTGATGTAAAACTTGGCACATTGGTGATTGATTCTAATGGAAAATTGCCTTTGTTGAGTTTTCCTTCCACTTAGTATAAAAGGCAATGAATCTCTTGTTACCCAATCATTTTGCTAATTGTATCTGTTACTTTTTTCATTGTTGGAACAACAATGCCTGATAAAAGCAACTTCAAGAAAGAGGGATTTATTGTGGCTCAGTTTGAGGATGCAGTCCATCATGGCAGGGTTGTGGCAGGAGTGTGAGGCAGCTGCTCATGTTGCATGCAGTCAAGAAGCTGAGAGGTGAAGGTTGGCACTTCACTAGCTTTCCCTTCTTATTTAATTCTGGACCCTGATCCATGGGGATGGTGCCACCAACATTCAGGGTGGCTCCTTCCTGCCCCATTAACCATTTTAAAAAAATTATTTTATTATTTTTATTTTATTTGTATGAGTGTATTGCTTTCATGTAGGTAAGTATACCCATGTCGTGCAATGCCCGTGGAGGACAGAAGAGGCTGCTGGATCCCCTGGAACTGGAGTTATGGGGAGTTGTTAGCTGCCATGTGGGTGCTGGGATTCAAACCTGGGTCTTCTGTAAGAATAGCCAGTGTTCTTAATCACTGAGCTACCTCTCAAACTCCCCCTCCCCCATTAACCATTTTTGAAAATACTCTCATATACATATCTGGAGATCTGTTACTGTCAAGGTTCAGATAGCCCTGACCCCTCACCAACAGGGCCTCACGGACCTCACAATCCCCTGAGAAGAGGGAACCGAGTTGATAAGCACCTTGGTCTTTGAAGTCAAGAGAAGCAGACTTTTCTCCACTGTTTGGCCAACACAGCAGGCTTCTTTGATCTCTAAAGAAGGCAGGTTTTAATAGTCCCACTCTCCCATTTTCCCCTGCCCAACAACAACAAAAAATATATCTTCCTGCCTTCTGCAGGAAGCAGGAGCCTCCCCCTATAAAAATACCCCAGGTCATGACCCGGGACAGACATTTTCCCTGGAAGGGAATCTGTCCCATGTGTTCCTTTGCTAATAAACTCTATTCCAATGGAGTTTTCTCTGTGTCCTAGTGCTTTCTCCCCATCAACTGGATTCATCCATAGGCTACTTTATCTATCAGTTACCACAGTGATTCTAAATACCATCAAATTGAAAATGAAAATTAACTATCATACTACCTAAAAATGTAAATGTACTTATATGTACATGCATGTGTGTATAGGTGAAGAAACATCTTTAAATAAAAATTATTAAAATTTGGTTTTGGGCATTACTTCCATATTGTAGTTCTTTTTAATTGTCTTATTTTTTTTCATCCACTTCTATAAAAAAGACAATATTTTTTGGCTTTAGAAATGATCATAATCCATTCATATTTTCAGGAAATTGAAATAAATCAAATACAAAGTTTTTTTTTTTCTTGTGTGCAAAGCATTCTTTTTAGGCACTAAAGACAAATCAATAAATAAAACGAAAAAGTGTCTGCTCTTATAGAACTCACATCCTAATGGAAAGAGATAGCAAAAAGTAAAAACATCGGTGAATCTATTAAGCAATCAGTTTTGTATGAAAGATAGTGATAGGGGCTGTGAACATAAGACAAGGAAAGCTGGGGCTGTGGGTATAAGATAATGATTTGTGTAGGGTCACCAGGGGAACCTTTGTAATTTCAGCAGTTCTCATTTGAAAGAGATGGGAGACAAGCTGTCAGGAGAAAGTCTTAAGTATTGAAAGGGAGCAATTTGATTTTCTTTGCTAATAAAGATTGGCCCTGCAGTGTTTGAATATTATGAGGGAAGAAGATGTGTTTGGAAGAGAAGGGAGAGATGGAAGCCTGGGAAGTAGACCAGAGATGCCCCACAGGCCAGGTGAGGGCTCTAGCCTTTTACTCTGAGTTAGAAATCTGCTTCTATTGTGAATGGGTTTTTGTTAAGGATGGGGCAATGGGAAGCAGGAAGACCTTTGAAGGAGATGACCATTACAATACAGCCACCTTGTGATAATGAAGGCTTGGGCCAGGTGGAGGTAGAGCAAACCTGGATGAGAGGTAGTCTTGCTTAGTGGGCTTCTGGCTAGACCCTTAAGGAGGGCCAAGTTGCTAATAGATTGATTGTAGAGTTGAGAGACAGGGAAGATAAAAGTGACTGTACATGGATGAATCTGTAGGACAGTATTATAATCAAAATAAGCCAGATACAGAAAGATGCTGCATGTTGTCAGTTATTGTCAGAGGCTGGGGCTTGGAGATAGAGGGAGATGTTAAAAGGTTCAGTGTCAGTTATCAGAAGAATAAATTCTGGAGAACTAGTGTACACATGATGAATATGCTATTGAATATTTTACTTGAAATTTGAAATGTTCTCAGACACCCACCCTCACTATAATGATACATGTTTTTTTGACATTGCTCTTGTAATTATTATGCAACACATACACATATTAAATCATTTTCTATTTGTCAAGTAAATAGTTTTAAATTAAAAAGGAATTCTAAGGCTTTTGGCTGGAGTGGTTGCCATTAGCTTGAGTTAGGGAAGGACTGCATAAGAGTCAGCTTTGAGAGGTTAAGCCTGGTATACCAAGTGGAAACGTCACCACTTTCTTTTTGTAGAATGTTCAGAGAAAAATGTAATTAAGTACGCTCTTTTGAAAGACTTTTCAACCAGGTGCTGGAGAGATTTCTCAGCAGTGAAGGACACTGACTGTTTTGCAGTAGACCCAGGTTCAAATCCCAGCACCCCCATGGCAGCCCTAACAACTGTCTATAGCTCCAGTTCCAGGGGATCTGACAGCGTCTTCTATCCTCCAGAGGCATTGCATGACACGGGTGCACTTACATACATGCAGGCAATACACACATATGCATAAAACAAAAATATTAAATAAAATATTTTTTAAGAGACAAAAAATTAAAAAGATTTTGAACCCAAATGTAAGGTAAAACCACATATATATACATAAATTAATTTATTAAATTAATTTCCTTAATTTATCTTAATATAAGCTAAGCATTTTCTTGGTGCTTTTTTTTTTTTTTTTTTCTCTTTGGGGATAGGGTCTCCTTTTAGCCCCTGTAGGGAGTCCTGGAACTCACTATGTTGAGGAGGCTGGCCTCAAACTCACAAAGATCCACTTGCCTCTGCCTCCCAAGTGCTGGGATTAAAGGGGTGCGCCACCACATCCAGCCTTCTTGGTGCTTTTTTACAGGAATATTAAGAGGTAATTAAATAAGATTGCATTCTCATTCATAAACAAATATATAATCAAATTTCATGTAAAAATTAAAGGTCATGAAGTCAGGGCAGAGCTTTAAGACAAAGTGTGACCTTTCAAGAAAAGCTCTCGAAAAATCTGTTAGGTATCAGATAAGTGGCTTATGTTGTGACTGTTTTGTTAAAGCATTATAATTCTCAGGGGCTGGAGAGGTGGCTCAGCAGTTAAGAGCACTGACTGCTCTTCCAGAGGACCCGGGTTCGACTCCCAGTACCCACATGGCAGCTATGAACCGTCCTTAAGTCCAGTTCTAGGGGAATCCGAAGCCCTCTTCTGACCTCTGCAGCATTGCATGACATGAGTACACTCACATACATGCAGGCAATACATTCATACACATAAAATTTTAAAAAAGTATATTTCTCATATTTATAAAAAGCTTTGGTGTTTATCTTTTTGAAATCTCAAACAGCCTCTTAGTACTTCTGAATTTTAATTTTGTGTGGAATGGACATATCCACATTTATTACAATTTAAACAATTATTATTTTATGTGTATGAGTGTATTGCCTGCATGTAAGTGCACCTGTGTCATGTAATACCCATGTAAGGTCAGAAGAGGGCATCTGATTCCCTGGAACAGAATTATGAACAATTGTTAGCTTCCTTATGGGTGCTGTGACCTGAGCCTGGGTCCTCTGCAAGAGTCGTCAGAGCTCTTAACCACTGAGCCATCTCTCCAGTGCCATTAATTACAATTTTAAGAACTCAATATGGATAATGATCAGTATGATCATTTCTTTTACTTAATGTTTGTGTCTAAGAGCATTGAGCACATATCACTTAGCTTATCATTGTTGGCACGGTAGCTGCTACTATTCTCACTTTATGACTCAATGAGGCACAGAGTAGTCACCTAGCTAAAATATGGAAAAACTGCACTCAAAGACAGGCTTGTACTCTTGATTCTCATTCAAACAACGATTGAAATATTTAGGGTTATCTTGGCCCTTGTTTTATTAAAAGAAGGTATTCTGAATATGTGCATGATGCTTCATTTGTAGTGTGAACAGGATGAAGAAGCAAAAGTGGATGACCTTACAACTTTGGATAGGAAAGCCCTCTTACAGCAAGGTTATGCAGACAACCCTCACCTTGTACAACACAGTGCAAGGAAATCAGATGCGGTAAGCCATCAGCATTTGTAGTAATTTGTTGTCATTATGGTCATTTACCTTCCAAGATTTTACAGTTATGACTGAATAGGTAATTATAACAATTGCATTTGGACTGAGATATATATCATTAATGTGTAAACTGAGTCCTTAATTTTTATAAAAGATTGACTTGTGTTTGGTATATTTTCTGTAAAAAACGTCTTGCATCATTGAGATTTGATACTGAAAATTTAGTTTACACTGTTCAAAATAATAATTGGCCACTACCTATGTTAGTGGGATTATCTGACATCATTTAACAGCACAGAGATTCCAGCCAGTTATGGAAAAGACCAGGAATCCTTAAGTTTTCTTTAGCAGAAGTGAAGCAGTGCTAGCAAGATTGTTCAGGTGGTGAAAGCGATTGCTGCACAAACCTGAGCGCCTGAGTTTGGTCCCTAGAACCCATGTAAAAAGCCCGATGCAGTGGCATACATCTGATTCCCAGTAGACTTACCAGGGATGGAAGGCAGAGATGATATAACTCAGAAGCTTGTGGGTTAGCTAAGCCTGAAGTAGGCTGTGCAGTAGCAGAAACGAGAGATACTCTTCCTCAGAAAAGTGGAGGGAGATAACTGACTCCTGAAAGTTGTCCAGTTGTCCTTCAACTTTCACAGAAACACCATGGCATGCACTGCCCCTCCCACAACCCCTGCCAACATAATAATACAAATTTTTTAAATTAAAAACTGAAGCAATTTTCAGACTTTAATATTAAAGTTTCATTTTTTTTCTCAAAATCAATTAGCTTAATGACTATTGCTTAGGCTAGCTCTACTATAAATAATTATAACATCTCTAGTGTCCTGGTATTTGGGGAACCAAGCTGCTTAAAGACAGAGTTCATTGGCCCCCTCCCCACAACCCCCAAGGGATTAATACCCTAGGACATAATATAAAGGGTGATGAAATGCCAATGTGGTGACTCACAATTTGCAAAAATTTGGTTTATATTGTCTAAATAATAGTAAAGCAATATGTTTTTAACCTAATTATATTATCACTACACTGAAAAAAAATCAAGACAGTTAATTTAGTTGTAGTTATGCAGAATCGGTATGTTCTGAGTTGGCAGCAGTGTGATCAATCACAGGTTCAGGGAGAATTTTCTGTTGATGTCCCAAGACGCAGATGTCTTACAGTTCTTCCAATAGAAACCTGTGCATATAATTTTGTATGCTTATTATCATTCAGTTATTTATGTTTAATGGAATAAGGAGTATTACCAAGGTTATCATAAAAAAATAACAAAGCTCCTTTTGATTTGAATTGTGTCCCAAATAAGGCTCACTTTATTTCCTGAGGCTGTATTTCAAATGGATGTCACCAGAACTTGTCTCACTGGATATTTATACATTTATTTATTGTGTGTGCATGTAGCCGAACATGCATTTATGCCTTCCTTGAGCATATGGTTCACGTGGAGTTCAGAGGACACTTTGTGGGAGTTGGTTTTCTCCTTTCACCATGTAGATCCCAAGGGGATCGGGCTCAAGCCAGTCTCAGGGGCTAGTGCCTTTATCCATCAAGTCATCTCACTGTCCCAGAGTGACTTTTATAGGTTGTGTTCCTCACACAGAGCTTTAAATCAGTTCCAGTCTTTGACAAAAACTCTAAACCGTCATAAACCTCAACTCCTAAGATGAACATTCTGCATAGACCCTATAGTATTCATCAATCTCTCGTTTGCCTTAGGCATAAGTAGATTTTTTTCTGAATATAATTTCAGTGTTTCAGTTATTGTCTATATTTTGAACCATCCTTTGATATTATAAAGTACACCTTGGTTTACCAGTAGATTGTTTAGTTTTCACTTTAATTGCTACTTTAAAAACATTACTAAATAAAAATCATGGCAATGTGCCATCACTTCAGATACCACAGGATGCGGTTATGTATTAAGTGATATGAATGCTTGGTTCACATTTGTATGTGTAAACTATACATCTTTAATTTCTGCCAAATAAAACTAAATTTAATTTAGAGCAATGTTTAAACAATTGTGCCTATTTCCAAGTTTCTAAGGATTTATACTTTTTTATTTTTATGATATGACATTGACATTATTATTTGATAGTGTATGTCTGTTTTATTTTAATTTTAAAATATTTTAAAACTTTTTTGTCTTTTTGAGACAGGGTCACCCTGTAGCCCCAGCTGTCCTGGAACTCACTATGTAGACCAGGCTGGCCTTGAACTCATGGAGACCGCTTGCCTCTGTGTCCCGAGTGCAGGGATTACAAGCGTACGTCTCCATACCCAGCTGACTCCTTAATTTTTCATGGCTTTCATTTATTCTTAAAAGAAATAGTGTTTATAGTTGGCTGATAATCTAATTGGAATTGAATGGTTGCAAGTCTTCTAACTGGATATTGCCTAAAACTAGAAAAATGCTTTCCAATTAGTTGAAAAGTGAAAAATCTATGAAGGCAATTTAACTAAGCTAGTAATAAAGGTTATCTCATTATACACATAGAAAAGATTATGATTCTTTTTATAAGTTTTACTTTTTAACATTTACTTATTTATGATTAATTAATTATTCATCTCTGTGTGAGTGTGTATGTGTGAGTGCACTTGTGATGGTCAGAGGACAACTTAGAGGAGATTTTTCTCTCCTTTTGCCGTGTGGGTTCCAGGGATGGAACTCAGGTCTTCAGGCTCAGTGGCCTTTACCTGCTGAGCCATCTTGCTGGTCCTGTTTTAAGTTTTTGATGCAAAGTTGAATGATAACAATAAGTTTCACCTCCTTTACTATGATTTGTTTAAGACTGAGGTCTTTTCGTGTCAGTGTTATTATTCCTGCGGCAAGTTGAGATGTGTTTCACAGGATGTGCCTTGAGGAGGCTGATAGAGGAGAGGGCTGCTGCATGCTCTTCCTCTTTTCCCATCACAAAATGCAAGGCAAAACTTGTTGGAAACATCTCATGATCTCTACTAAAATTTAAGTGCATTAATTTTGAGGGAATGATAATTAAGATTAAAGAATTGGAATCTAAACATAATGATTAGTAATTAGTATTTTAAAAGGAAATTAAGAATTTTTAATTTTTGTTTTAATACTTTCATATTAAATATTCTGCTTTATGGACAACAAAATTGCTTTTCCTTTTTTAAATTTAAAAGCATTTTAAAATTTATTTTTATTTTGTGGGTATGAGTGTTATGCCTGCATGGATGTAAGTGCACCTGTGCTGTGCAGTGCCCACGGAGGCCAGAAGAGGGTGTTAGAACGCCTGGAATTGGAGTTATGGATGGTTGTTAGCCACCATGTGGGTGCTGGGACTTGAGCTTGGGTGTTCTGCAAGAACAGCCAGTGCTCTTAACTGCTGAGCTATCTCTCCAGTCCCTTAAAATTGTGTTTATTTTGTCTTCTTAGGAAATCATGGCTGTGGAGAAGAAGAAGCAGACTGTGGAGGAGCAGATGATGATAGACCATTTATCTAGGTGAGAACTAGTAACTCTATAAAAATCTATTCTGAAACTGTTCACTAAATTTCTTTTTCACACAAAACACCCATATATGTGGTTAATCAGTGTCTAGGTTATCAGTGGCTTCCACTTGCCCACTGCTTACTGTAGTCTCATCATATTAGTGAATTTTTCAGAAACCATAGAAACAATAAATAAATAAAATAATATTTAAAAAAAACTCCAGGTGTTGTGATATGTGGTTTGTAATCCAGGCACTGGAGAGGCAGAGACAGATGGATCCTTGGGACTCACTTGCCAGATAACCAGCCTACATGGTAAACTCCATGTGGGAGAAAGACCCTGTCTCAAAACACAAGGAGTATGGCTCCTAGGGAACAGGTGACTCCTGGGGTCCACTTGCCTGCACACACATGTGGACCCCCATGATTATGCACTCACACCTGCATATACATATATACACATGAAGAAATGCTTAAAATCCTACTCTTTATTAAGTATTTTTATTCAAACAACTTAATTTCCTAACAATTTTTTTTAATGATCATTTGAATTACATATAAAATAAAAGAAATTTTTATTTCATTCTTAACATTTCCAAAATAATTTTCTAATGAGATCGTATTAATTCCTTTTCTGTGGCTTTGGTAAAACATTATAACCAAGGCAACTTCTAGAAGGGAGAGTTTATTGGACTTATGGTTGCAAAGGGATGAGTCCTTCATGGTTGGGGAGGCATGGCAGGGGGCAGGTGGAGCAGATAGCTGAAAGCTCACATCTTCAAGTGGGCACAAGAAGCAAAGACAGACAAATTGGAAGTGAACAAGGTGATATGCTCTGAAAGCCCACCGCAGTGACATACTTCCTCCAGCACAGCGGCACATCCTAAACCTCTGCACACGGCACCACCAGCTGAGGCCAAGTGTTCAAACACTTGGAAGCTATGGGGACATTCACATTCAAACCACCATGGGGGCGGGGGGGCCTCTATCTTTTGGGCTCTGTTGATTTCTCAAATCTTAGAATTATTTAGGGTCATCTTTTATTTTGCATTGACTTTCACGACAGTGACTTTTTATCACAACAATATAGAAAACTCAGCTTTACAAAGGTGTGACATCCATCATTTAAGGATATTGTTGAAGTAATGAACCGCATTGAGCCAGTTGCCATGGTTTCCAAATGATGATGAACATCTGTATCTTCCTGTAAGAAACTAATATCCAAAGTCCTCCTGTGAATTCACTGTGGTATCCCAGGGTGACTTGGGTACTGTTGAGAACTGTGAAACTAATTGTCAGTAATTTTTTTTTTGGTCTTTTTGAGATGGTCTCCCTGTAGCCCAGCTGTCCTGGAACTCAATATGTAGACCAGGCTGGCCTTGAACTCACAGAGATCTACCTGCCTCTGCCTCCCGAGTGCTGGGATTAAAAGGGTAAGTGAAGTAAAACAGACTCAGAAAAAAAATCGACATATGTTCTCCCTCATATGTGGATCCTAGGACCAGACATAGGTACAGGAACCAGGATAATGGAAAGGAAACAGGGAGGTAAAGGAAAAGAAATAACCTGAAAGAGAACAGTA